CAACAACAGAGTATGGCTGCATTGGGTCTAGCGCTCTAGGGTTTTATCAACAGCTCTTGAAAGGCCTGTGATAGCAGTAATTATCCCTGAACCTTTACTTCCTCATACATGTGTGAAATTCCAGGTGTTCTTAATATGGACAAGAGCAAGAGTTTGGGCTTGTTCACATCCAGGTAATTCTGGGTCAATTGCCTGAAAGGCTTCCATAGAGATGCCCTTGTACAATGAAGGAACTTTCCTGGATGGCAAGTCTGTCACCCTCTCTGGGGGAGAGATGCTTTGCAGCTCTGTGTTCAGTTTCTTGTGCAGCATGGGGGAAAACTGATGTCTTGAGGCAAAATCTGTTATGTAACTGAAATATGTACAACTTTGCACAAATTCTTAGTGGTAATTTCAACTAACATTTCTGTCCAACAGAGTTTCAGTTCCTGCATTCAGCTTATGGTAGGAGAGCTATTTTTCCTCATCTGTATTATGGCCTATATATGTGTTATCTTGTAACAATGGTAGCTCCCCTTCTTCCCTCCTCCCCAAATCCCATCCCCTAGGCTTGGGCTCCCCCAGGTGGCTCAGTAGCAGTTCCTAAAGCATGCAGGAACATGTCTGATGGTGCAAAATCATGGGTTGGAGACACACATGAACCATTCCCCTCAGGTAGCAATGAAGGATCATGGTACTAAAAGGCGTCTCTTACCCTAACCTGGCTGCAAATTCAAATGAACAAAAATGACAGGACCCATATGTGGTTCCTCTCTTGGCTTTGTGGCAGCTTTTCTGGAGGAATTATATAGATTATGCCTATTAGAACCCAAAACATCAGTTGGCCCCAGGATCAGATTTTTCTATCTTCATCAGCAGTCTGACATGTTTGAAGACCTAGTTGACTTAAGATATAGTTCCCTTAGCCCAAATCTTGAACTCTGGGCTCATTTTCAGGACTTTTTCCTGGATGATGAAAGGTAGGGGCCAAGTTTGTTAATGAGTAAGGGATCAGAACTTGGGGAGGTGTGGACTCCAGGCCCAAGGCACCACAGGAACTTCTGGGCACCTGTGAGGGTCCCAGCAGTGTAATTTGGTGAGGTTCTTTTTGTCTTAGACAGGAAGGGACCATGGGAGGGACTTAGTGCTTTTACCACCCTCACCTGGGCTGTGAAGGACAGGTTTTTGTTTTTGTTTTGTTTTGTTTTTACTCTCTCTATATTTTCTCAACTTTTACCTTGATTATTTAAATATTGGAAATTGAATTTTTATATAGCACATCTTCCAGAAGATGAGCTGAGAAATTTCTTCTTGCCACTACTATGGGCTTGTGTGATCTTGGGCAATGTGCTAATGTCTCTAGGCCATAAATAAAGTGTCTTAGTTCACACTGAGGACTCTTTAAGTGGTAACATCCTATTCTCTTAAAATTTTATTATTTCACTATTGCTCGCCACAGACCTCTTTCACTTATCATTTATGAGGAGTCCTTTTTTGTTTGTCTCAAGGATACATGAACTCAGACAGAAGTATCCATAAAAGCTAGAGGTCTCAGCCTCTTCATCTTCCCATCTGAAGTGAGGAGAGAAGCTTAAGGAATATAGATGTAACTCTTTATGTTGTAGAGTATTCTATGTCAGGCCTTAAGTTGGCCCTTGAGAAATACAAAAACACGTAAGACAAAGTTCCCATTCCCAAAGAGCAGGAACTAGGATAATCAACTATATTGGATGCCTGTAGGGCCTGTGGATTAAGAGTAAGGAAAAAAGGCTTCATAGTTGATGTAAGTCTTTATGTTATGATTGATAGGTGAATACAAGTTTACCAGGTGGAATATAAGGAGAAATAGTCAGGAGAACCAGCAGTGTGAAGCTCCTTGTATCTGGGAATGCTAAGCAGATTGTGTGCAGTAGTAGTTTGGAGAGTGAGAATGATGGGAGTCTAGAGGGATCATCAGGACTAGACTATGGGAACCTTGAATTCTCACCAGGAACTTAAACTGCAGCCTGTGGGCAGTGGAGAACCATGGTAGTGTCTTAAGAAAGAGAGTTTGGTGATTAGCTTTCAATCTTAGCTACCTCTCTGTGACTGTAGCTTGGAGACTGGAGGGGACAGGTTTAAGAGCTAATAAAATAGGACACAGTTGTAGTAGACCAGGTGAGGTGGTAAGAGTTTGAATTGGAGAGGTCTACAACTGTGAGGATGGAAGAGTAGCACAGCTACCTGAACTATAAACTGAAAGACTGGATGACACTTTATTTTTGACCCTCACATCAGTACTATGAAGCAGTCAGGAAATGATTATTATTGCGATTTTATGAGACAACAAAACTGAAGCTTAGAAAGATTAAGCGACTTGCCCAAGGTCCCACAGCTAAGAAGTGGCAGAGCCCAGGCTTGAATTCAGATTTCCTGACTTGGTACATTGTTTCGGATAATGGTCCCTTGCTGCCTCTCTTCTATGTAAGTGTGCTTAACAAAATTGTTTGAATGTCAGAAGGTGTGAAGGTCCCGTACCCAGGGAGTGAACAACCCAGTAGCTGGACGTGGGACCCTTCTGTGACTGGGTCCATGGCCCTTCACCGGAAAGGGTCTTCTCTTTTGTGTTACCTGTCCTCTTTCCTTGAAAATACAGATACAATCTGTACACTAGTTTAGATGTACAACTTAATAATTTCTCATATGACATGCCTATCACTCAGTTCAAGGAAGTGGCTCTAGCTGTCCAAACACCCTCTTCCTTCACCATGCCTCTAAAAACTTGGGTTGGGATTGGCTTCATCAGCAACTAAGCTTTGAATCACTGTTGCCAACAGAATGAGTTAGAGTTGTATGTGGAAGAGCAAGGTCACATGGCACAGCCAACTAATGATGAGGCCAAGTTGACAGCTAATATTTGGGTTTGTTTTTAGTTTTCATATTTATCCAATCATTTAAATCCTTAAGTATTCAAATATACAAAGAGTCACAAAAAATACTATGTTTTCTTTGTATCATTAAACCAGAAGAAACTATCCCTTTATTCAGGAAGGCACATAGCTCACATGACCACTTAGGAAAGACAATTAAGGTACAGTCACACTTTTGCTTTCCTGGTTAGTCTAAAACATTTTATTGTGTATCGTGCTGTCTTGTTCACTCCCTGGTTGGCGTGTGGCTGTGTTGCATCCCTAGCTAGAATGTAAGTACTTTGTGTGCAGTGTGACCAACGTGTGTTCCTGTCCACTGTGGCACTCCCGTCAATGCTGAGTACAGTTAGGCCTCAGTACTCTTTAGCTAATTTTTATTTATTTTGTCACACAGTTCTTCAGGCTAATGTCAGACTTTTCCCTTATGATGAAAAGTATATTAAAGTATGTGCCACTTGAAGGAAAGGCTGGAATGAATCAGGATGTCTAAATTCTCCAAATTCCTACAGTCAAATTTAGGCCTTCTGCTCCTTGGTAGAGTCCCAGTGAGGTCTTGTAAGCAATGAATTCGCTCCATCTTGGCTTCTCAAAGCTACATACTTAATGTTTTAGGGAGTTTTGGGTGGTCATGGTTTTCTAGTCATATGGAGCATCAGGTTCTAAATTTGGATACATCTTAATAAGATTTGTCAACACTAATTGGAACCTTTATGAATCCCCTTCATACCAGCGCCCCACCTCTGGAAAAGACACCCAAGTTAATTTTCTAAAACAGGCACCTGCTTCTTCCTGCACTGTCTGCAGAGCTGTGCAGGATAACCAGCAAAGACTCTGGGCTCTACATGAAATTCTGCAGGACCACTGTTTCTCACATCAGAATTCTCCTTTTAGTGTCACCTTTCCTGCCCATGATTTCCTTCTCATTCCTCAACATCCGCTGTATAGATTGTGGGCCATTGATGCAAACACAGGTTAGAGCTACACTTCTAACCTTGGTTCAGCAAGAACAGCAGAGTGCTTGCCCTTCCCTCTCCTTAATATCTCTGGTGAAGAAACTGAGACATTAGTTGGTCCTCAGTCAGGCAGAGGGCGTTATGAAATCTCTTGGAAGGTAGCTATCCTGGTGGAATTAGAGAGTATATAGGCAAACTTGCTTTGCACACCACCACATCTTACCATAGCCTCATGTTAAAATTTATCACATGTATCAGCACCACCTCCTGCTAATTAGTATTTTAAAATACCCCATACCACCAGACTCCCAAATCCTTATTTGAGTGGAACCATAGCAGAAATTTGGGTCTAATGTTTGAAAGTACAGTAAAATGTTAGGCGATTTCCCTTTTTGAAGTCCTATTTCCTCTTTCCTTCCCCTCAGGATACCACAATGGTAAGTTTTTTAGTCACTCCCCATTTCTAGAATATATGAAATACCATCTTTAAAATTTCTTAAGCAGAGCTTTGAGTCAGCTTGGGATATCTCTCAATCTGAGTCAGGAGGGGTGTCAACAGGAGATATGCAGGGGAATGCCAGAGGCTTGTTCATCTGACCATACCTAGGTATCCTGGAGAAGGGCTTGGCCCTGTGCTGTTTAAGCTTTCATGGTCACAGCTCAATCCCGTTAGAGGAGATGGTATTTCATTAAGGTTCATCTTATGTGATAATTACTTGTGAATTTCTCTTTGACAGCAACTTGCTTAAATATACCTCCTGATGAGATTTTAGACAAAAAAAAAAAAAATGAGTGTGGGGAATGTAGTTGATCTGGCCCACCACACATTCTTAGGCTCCAAGTTGCTTCCATGTTAATGAAAAAGCGGCTGCAGAGAATATACCAGAGGCTTAGACAAGGAGTCAGATGGAAGGAAGCTAAATGCATGGGCATCTTCATGGGTAGAAAATCCTGATTCTGTTAATATACTGGCAGACTTCCTTGGTTTTAAGTCATTTGAAAGCTCAGTTGAGCACTCCTCCCAACTGCTAACCATCTCAGAAAGGCTGAATCATTCTGTGTGTTTCTGTCTAGCACAAGACCCCTCCCTTGCTTTGTGTCTGTAATTGGTGGTATCCACTTATTTCTGCCTAATGCCATTCTTGTGTCTTTCCTTAAGCCACTCTGCTGATGAAACAGGCCTGGCCACAGAACTCATCTTCCTGTGGCACTGAAGGCACCTTCCACCTCCCAGTGGACACCGGGACTGAGAACCGAACTTACCAAGCATCTTCTGCAGCTTTCAGTAAATACAGCCTGTCTCTTCCTTTCCTTGTTCCCTTGTTGGGATTGATTTGTTTCCTAGGAAGAAAGGAAAGGAAATTTTAAAAACAAACAAAACCCCACCACATTTTATAATCTAAATACTGTCTTAAAGGGTTCTCATACTTACACCAAAAGTTGCCCTTCCTCATTTAGGAAAGATTCTGTTTGATCATGCATCCACCTTTAAGGAGTGTGGAAGGATGTAGTTACCTGGCCAAGAAGTTTGATTTCAGAAATACTGTTACTGAATTTCAGGGGAAAAGACAAAGGGCACGTTTGGATAGAATGGGCTTTTCCTTAACACAGGGTTTCTTACCAATGCTCTTGACATCTTGGTCAGATCATTTTTTTTCCCCCCAGGGTAGAAGGGGGCGGCAGGCTGTCCTAGACATTATAGGATGTTTAGCAGCAACCTTGGCCTCAACCCATTAGATGCTAGTAGCAGAGAACATGAGGCAACCCAAATGGTCTCAAAACATGGCTAAATGAGTGGGGGGTGCATGGGATTGGGGGTGACAAAATTGCCTCTTGTAGGAGAAACACTGTTCTAGTGGGAGCTACACTATTGGAGCAGGTATGTGAAGTACATGGATAGAAGCCAGAGGCAGTCAAATTGGTTGTATTCGCCTCGAGGCTGAGGGGCAGGGTAACTGGAGCTGTTACCTTCACAGCTGATTTGTAACACAAATAGTTTCAATGAGGAAATGAGGACCATGGTTTAGAAATACTGATTGGCAGTTTGATGCCATATAAGGAAGAACTTGTTGCCTGTGGGAACTGTCCAATAGACTGTGGCTGGCTTTGGATGTGGGAAGCATTTATATGTGACATTATGCCAGCAGGAACTAGACAAATGCTCCAAAGGATGTTATAGGGGATTAGTAGTTTACTAAGCATTGTGTTATACATACTTTTTTTTTCTTTTTCTTTAAAACACACTCAGTGTTGGCTGGGTGTGAGTGGCTCATGCCTATAATCTTAGCTACTTATTTATTTTATTTTATTTTTTTGGTCCGGTCGTGGGGCCTGAACTCTGGGCCTGGGCGCTGTCCCTCAGCTCTTCAGCTCAAGGCTAGCGCTCTACCACTAGAGCCACAGCGCCACCTCCGGCTTTTTTCTTTTTGCTTATGTGGTGCTGAGAAATCGAACCCAGGGCCTCAGGCATGCAAGGCAAGCGCTCTACCACTGAGCCACCTTCCCAGACCTAATCTTAGCTACTAAAGAGGCTGAGATCTGAGTATCAAAGTTGAGTTTAGAGCCAGCCCTGGCAGGAAAGTCCATGAGATTCTTTTTTTTTTTTTTTGTCGGTGGTGGGGCTTGAACTCTGGGCCTGGGCACTGTCCCTCAGCTCTTCAGCTCAAGGCGAGCGCTCTACCACTTGAGCTACAGCGCCACTTCCGGTTTTCTGGTGGTTTATTGGAGATAGGAGTCTCACGGTCTTTCCTGCCCGGGCTGGCTTTGAACCGTGATTCTCAGATCTCAGCCTCCTGGGTAGCTAGGATTACAGGCGTGAGCCACCAGCGCCCGGCTTCCATGAGATTCTTATCTCAACTAAACTACTCAGAAAAAGCCAGAAGTGGTGCTGTAGCTTAAGTGGTAGAGCACTAGCCTTGGGCACAGAGAGGCAGGTCCTGAGTTCAAGCCCCAGAATTGGCAAAAACAAAACAATCTAGTGTCATTTTCCTCATCATTGCTGCAGATGTCAGTCATAGCTCACTTTTTGAAAAGTATGTTTTCATAATCACTCTCTCATTTAACCAACACTGTTTATTGTCCCAACAGTTATATGGGTGGATTTTCATCCTACTTGGAAAGCTGAGGCTCAGAAAGATAACAGTACTGACGTACTGCTTGGCTGGAATACAACAGAAAACATACAGATTAAGATTCTATTACTTTTTCATGAAGTTGATTTTATTCTTTAAGAAAAAGATGACAGGTCGGGCACTAGTGGCGCACGCCTGTAATCCTAGCTCCTAAGGGGGCTGAAATCTGAGGATCGAGGTTCAAAGCCAAGCCCCAGCAGGAAGTCCATGAGACTCTTATCTCCAATAAACCACCAGAAAACTGGAAGTGCCACTGTGCCTCAAGTGGTAGAGCACTAGCCTTGAGCTGAAGAACTCAAGGACAGTGCCCAGACCCAGAGTTCCAGCCCCACGACCAACAGGAAAAAAAAAAAAAAGATGACAGCCATAGGGAGCTTTTCCAGATGCCTCAAGTAGAATTGAATGAGCATTTTTGAGACTATATGTGTTGTAAACTGGCATGTAATATTTTCTTGTACATCCACACAATTGGATGTAGATCTATAAAGGCAATCTACTATAGCGTTGCAGAAAGGGGTCTGGTGTTGAAACCCAGAATTGGATTCTAGACCTGGTCCTTTGTTGCTTTGGATAATTCTGTTCATGCCTTGGGTTTTGAGTTGTAAAATGAAGGTCTGGACAAGGTGATTTCCAAGGTTCTCTCTAGCTATTAGTCTCTTAATTGTGTGACCTTGAAGCTGTGTGCCAGTGTCCTCCAACCAACAAAGCCTTCCTCTCTAGCTGACCCCATAGTAGCTGGCCATCAAGACTTCGCTAATATACTGCAGGGATGGGTGCTTGTTCTCCCAGAACAAGCCTTTGGGTGGTCTAAGTATCAGCAAACCTTGCCTTCTACTGTGCTCAGATCTTCCTGCAGTCCCACTAAAATGTCCAGAAGCCACATCCCACCCGGGAAAGGACCAAAATGTATCCTTCTCTTTTAAGCAAGTAGTATATAGACCTGTGTAGTTTTTAAATACAGTTGGGATTGACTGGCCTACTCACACACAGAAAAGCTCTGCCCAGCATTCAGATTTTCATTGCTTCTCCTTCCACAGAACAGTCAGGGCACTTTGACAAATTCAGCTCAGTCTTGCCAACACTTGTTAAGCCTGTTTGTAATTAGGTCTCCCGCCTACTTACTCAGCACTCCCTTGTTCAGCTACCAACAAGGAGAGTTAGGGGTCAAGGCAAGATTCAGACAGAGAGCTTTGTTTTGTCCAGACATATAAATCTGATGATCAATAAACCGATTAGTCTAAAAGGCGTCTGTGATGTGAAGATCAATGTCTTTGAAGGTGGTAGGGGCTCTACAACTGAAAAAGATTTATGGCAGGGAAGAGCAATTGAAGAGAGGGCTGTAAAGGTTTTATTTTGCTAATGCACATTCTCTTTATAATCCTGTTTGATGGACCCCTAAAACTATGGTTAGGAACCTGAGACAAACAACTGACATCATAAACGGTGCCTCTTTTATTAAGGCAGAACTGAGACTTCTAGTGATCAAATTTTCTTCTCTCCTGATGCTGCCTTTAGTGAAACAGGGATACAGAGGCCAATATATTAAATGTCCAGGATTGCACTGCAGAGACCATTAATTCAGAAAGATCTCTGCCCAGGGCATTATAAGCCCTGAACTTTGGACTCAGCTCTGCATTGGTTTGCTGTGCAATTTTGGTAAGATTGCTGCCCTTCTGGGCTCTAGGTTCTTTGGAAGGAAAAGAGTACTAAATGTAATAAGCCTCTCGTGTCCTGAGGCATAGCATTTCGAAGTCCTAGTTCTGTAACTTTCAGGTTCAGAACTCCTTTCAGGGTCATCATGTCTCCAGTGAGTGAACTGAGTCGTTTGTGTAAAAATCCACAAGGGTTTTTTTAGTTTCTTTGTTGTTGTGTTGATCTTGAGCTTTGAACTCAGGACCTAGTCTTACTAGGCAGCCACTCTACTACTGAGCTGTCCTGATTCCAGCCCAGAGGTGCTTTATATTCCTTAAATTTTAGAAACTTAACTATTTTTTTTTTTTAAACTTAGATGCAGCCCGGGCTATAGCCCAAGAAATTGTCATCATTCCTCAAGAGTTCCCCACAGGGGCTGGGAAGGTGGCTCAGTGGTAGAGTGCTTGCCTAGCCTGCATGAAGCCTTGGGTTCCATTCCTTAGCACCACATAAACAGAAAAAGCTGGAAGTGGCGCTGTGGCTCAAGTGGTAGAGGGCTAACCTTACCAAAAGAAGCTCAGAGACAGAGCCCAGGCCCAGAGTTCCAGGACTAGCGAAAAGAAAAAAAGGAGTTCCCCAACTGGCAGAGCCGCCAGTCTGCTAGGAAAAATGCTCTGCGTTGCTATCTCATAAAGGTCCTGAGCCGGCGCCGGTGGCTCACACCTACAATCCTAGCTACTCAGAAGACTGAGATCTGAAGGTTGCATTTTGGTTCAAAACTAGTTCTGGCAGGAAAGCACTTAAGACTCTTATTTCCAATTAACCACCAAAGAGTCAGAAGTGGAGCTGTGGCTCAGGTGATAGTGCCAGAGCCTTGAGCCTGAACTCTCAGGGATAGCATCCAGGCCCTGAGTTCAAGCCTCAAGACTGGCGCACACAAGTGCGTGCATGCACACACACACTCCCCTCCCCTACCCCCCACACACCGCCAAAAAAAAAAGTCCTGCTGGACATTGGTAGCTCACATCTATAATCCTGGCTACTCAGGAGGCTGAGATCTTTCAAAGCCAGCCTAGGCAGGAAAATAGGAGATTCTTAACCAGCAAAAAGTAGGAAATGGAGCTCTCACTCAAGTAGTAGAGTGCTGCCGTTGAGCAAAAGAAGCTCAGGGACAGTGCCCCAGCCCTGAGTTCAAGCCCAAGACTGGCACACACACACAAATAAAAAGTCGTGTTGGAACACTCAAGAGCTCAGTGTGTCGGTGCCAGTAAGGCAATCTCTAAGAGAGGAAGGTAGTGATGCCCAGAAAGAGCCCAGACTTAGGGCCATGGCTGGTTTCTGAAACCCCAGGTAGGATGCTACTGATACAAATAGTAACCTCAGTCACTTTGAGGAAGTGCCTCTGGGAGCAACCACTGTCTGTTCCTTCTCTCTTCTGTGAGAGATCTCTCAAGATCTCTTCTAGCGCGGCAGTTCTGCTTCCATCCCAAACTGTATGGAAAGTAAGCGAGGTCTTCATCTGCAGCAGCATCTTTGGTCACCAAGGGCATGTGAGCTACTGATATGTATTCTAAGTATATATTCTAAGTGTGTCCTGCTTCAAAACACGAAGAAAGAGATTCTCAGACAAGGTTATTTTTAGACGTGGAAACCAGTTTCTACTGCAGTCTCTTTTGATTTCCTCAGAGGAACAGTCCCAACATTTGGTGATATGGTTTTCCTTGTAGCATAGATGGCTTCTTGTTCCTGCCCTGGGGCAGATGGAATTTCCAGAATATATTCTCCAGGAGCTGGAGAAAAGTCATCTGCATCACTGACTTTTTAAAGAATCATAAAATCTAGCCGGGCGCCGGTGGCTCACGCCTATAATCCTAGCTACTCAGGAGGCTGAGATCTGAGGATCGCGGTTCAAAGCCAGCCTGGGCAGGAAAGTCCATGAGACTCTTATCTCCAATAAACCACTAGAAAACCGGAAGTGGCGCTGTGGCTCGCCTTGAGCTGAAGAGCTCAAGGACAGCGTCCAAGCCCAGAGTTCAAGCCCCACGACCAACCAAAAAAAAAAAAAAAATCGTAAAATCAAATGGGTATTGGTGGCTCATGCCTATAATCCTAGCTACTCAAAAGGCTGAAATCTAAGGATGGCAATTTGAGTCCATGACATGCTTATCTTCAGTTAAGAACCAAAAAGCTGGAAGTAGAGCAGTGACTGAAGTGATAAAGTGTCAACCATGAGGAAAAAAACACCTGAGACCACCTATTCACCCAATTAAGAGGAAAGCAACACTGAAGCCTAGATCTCTGCCTCCAGAGATCATGCAGAAACAGTTCCCCTGAGCTGAAAGGGTCCTTGGTGAACATCTTTTAGGTAAAACAGTGAGCATAGAGATTGAGCCATGCCAGCCAGATCTATGCAGGATAGGGAAGAAGCCACCCCGGTACCTTCCTACTGGGACTTCAAAGCCAAGCTTTTTTGCTATTAGAGTCCTTAGACTCTAAACTAAAAATACTTTCCTGCCTGAGCCTCAGGAACCCAATGTAAAGTGGTCAGGGTCATTTCATGAGCACCTGGTTTCCTGGAACAGTTTCATTGGTGATTCTGTAAGCATGAAGCTTTGTGTCTGGGAGGCCCATGGCTCATGTTTCCTGTGAGCATAAGATCTGACTCTTTTCCAGAGGACACATGGGCAGTAGTTGATATGTCTGCTTGTGAGCTTCTTGGGACTACTCAGCCCCAACTTTTGTCCATCCTGCTGAGGCACAGATATGGCATAAGTCTGGGTCAATGTGAATCTTTGTGATATCTGATATAGGTCTTTGGGACATTGAAGTCCCAAGCCCTAGAGAAGGAAAGAAGAGCTAGCTCTATTGAACAAAGTTCAACATCCAGAAAATGGTGGTAGGGAGGAAAGGATTGTGGTTAGTGAAAGTTCATAAAGGGGAAGGGAGAGAGAAGGGAAAAAAGAACAAAAGTTAGGGGGGAGCAAGAGAGGACGAGCAGAAGAAGAAACCCCTGGGGTCCTGAGTGAAGAGACAGAAGAGTGAGGAGGCAGTAGCAATAAGGGAGTGGGCTGAGGGGCTTCCTGTCTGTGCACCTGCCTCTCTCACAGGCAGCTCAGAATCCCTGGCTCAGAAAGGGTTCTGGAAGAGACCATCCAGTTCTTCTCTCTTGTTGTATTGTATGAGATGAGAGCCTAAATCAGGCATGCAGCCCTGTGTACCAGGGCGGAGGGAAGCTGCCTCTGCAGTATACTTCTGGGTATAGCCCTTCTCTGTTTGTCCTCATCTGTTTCCACCCTTCATTCAGCCCACTTTTGTTTGGGGAGTTGTGCCTGGGTCATCTAACAATGCCATCTAACAATGCTCTTTTACCAACTAACCGTGTGTCTTTTCTTGCCTTGACACAGGATATACCGCAGGGACACCATACAAGGTCCCACCAACCCAGAGTAATACTGCTCCACCCCCCTATTCCCCATCACCCAACCCCTATCAGACGGCCATGTATCCAATCAGAAGTGCCTATCCCCAGCAGAACCTGTATGCCCAGGTAGGTGCACACGGTGGCCTGGGCCAACCTCTTCTGCAAGAACTTCTGTATTATGGGTAGGGTAGAGTGGGGTCCAGTCCAAGAAGAGTTTGTGAGGTCTGTGTAGGCATGAAGCAAATTACCCTCACTCCACCTAAGACCCTAAAAGGATGAAGCACAAAGTCATTTATATGAGCAGAGCTCAGATGTCAGAGGTGCACAGGCACTTAGAGATCATTTAGCTCGACTCCTTTCTTAAAAAGTGGGGAAGTTGAGAGCAGAGAGCAAAAAGGCTCGCCCAAGGCCGGGAATGTGGCCTAGTGGCAAAGTGCTTGTCTAACATGCATGAAGCCCTGGGTTTGGTTCCTCAGTACCACATAAAGAGAAAAAGCTGGGAGTGGCCCTGTGGCTGAAGTAGTAGAGTGCTAGCCTTGAGCAAATGAAGCTCTGGGACAGTGCCAGGTCCTGAGTTCAAGCCCTAGGACTGGCAAGAAAGAAAAAGAAAGACAGGAAGGGAGGGAGGGAGGGAAGGAGGAAGGAAGGAAGGAAAGTAGGAAGGAAGGAAGGAAAGAAGGAAGGAAGGAAGGGAGGGAGGGAGGAGGGAGGGAGGGAGGGAAGGAAGGAAGGAAGAAGAAAAGGCTTGCCCAGTGTAGCACAATGAGGTCAGGATAAGACCCTATATATATGTGTCTTGGTCTTCTCTCACCCCCACACCTACCTTTCCTTGTCTAAGTAGGTGAGCAGGTAGGAAGGAGAAAAGGACACCGGCCCTGGTACCAGCACCCTATGTGGCCTTGGGTGCGTTCTTCTTAATTCTTAGTGTGCTATAGTACCCCGAGGTAGTCTCCCTTGGCTGGAAAATGTGAGCATTCAGGAAACTGATGTGACTAGCCTAACTATGACATATTTTTCTTTGTGAGTTTTAAGTGGTGAGGAAAGCATTATTTTTTAGTTTAAAAAAAATTAGCTGTATTGCAGAATAGAAAGCAAAACTGAAAGAAAAAGAAAAAAAACAGGCCCGAGATCATCTTTTCTCATTTATGGGCTGTTAGACCTACTGGGTGCTTGTCATCATTTAGTATTAAGATTTTAGAACTTCTAGAACAGGATAATCTCAGGGACCCCTGTGTACTCTTCCCAGGGGCCAGCAGGCCTAGGTGATCTGAGCACTGGGGAGTCACCTCAAATCTTTGTCTTCATCCTCACCTTTCGTATAGGAGAAATAGATGGTGAGAGATATTTTGGGAAGTTCCATCCACTGGTGATGTTTCCAGAGTATGAATTGCCAGCGCTGCAGCAGAGTGGTGATACCACCCGCCCACCTTCAGCGCATGTGCTTGGTGCTCTGGACTTCCTGGCCCTCTTCACAAGCTTAGCATCTGATTGACCATATTTCCTAACCTTTAAATGTGAAGTAATTTCTAAAATCACATTGCAATAAAATCCAAACATAAAATGTTTAAAATGGGGTTAAAAGAAGAAAGCTTTTATTCCAGTAGGTCTTTACAGAAACGCTAGGAGCAAGGCAGGATGGGAAGAACCTTGCATATTTCAGAGCAAGCTGAGCCAGCACGGAACTAACCACAGCCACATAGCCCTAGCTGGGACCTGGATCTTGTGTCCCTAGACCCATGCTTCTTAGGGTCTGAGAAAAGCAGTGGCCATCCCTATCCTCTTTTCTCTATATCCCACCACCCCTCTCCAACAGCCCATGTGACCTGAGCCTCTTTCTCGTAGGGAGCCTACTACACACAGCCGGTATACGCTGCTCAGCCCCATGTCATCCACCATACCACAGTCGTCCAGCCCAACAGCATTCCCTCTGCCATCTACCCAGCGCCTGTTGCTGCCCCCAGGACCAATGGAGTGGCCATGGGCATGGTGGCGGGCACCACCATGGCGATGTCAGCAGGTGAGGGCAGTTCTGCCTCAGTGTTCATTGCTCTCCTCCAGGAACTCCTAGCAGAGAGGGGAGCAGGCATGGAGCTGGCTGTATCACTGCATAAGAAACCCTGAGTTGGGGGGCAGGTCTGCGAATCTAGAAAGACCCTCTGTCTCAGAATGGAGGAAAACTTCACCAAGAAGGTGAAAGCCTTAAAGGGTAAGCCAAAAGTTCAAGCAGAGAGATAGAAGAGCAAAGGGGAAGCTGGGTGCTGATGACTATACAGGAGGCTGAGATCTGAGGATCACAATTCAAAGCCAGCCCTGGAGGAAAGTCCATGAGACTCTCATCTCCAATTAACCACCAGAAAATCGGAAGTGGTGCTGTGGCTCAAAAGTAGTAGAGCAGATAGCCTTGAGCATAAGAGGGAAGAGGAGTATAAGCAGTATAAGTTGGCAGAAAGATGGAGAGGTGCTAAGGCATTTCAGAAATAGGGGCATAGAGGAGAAAGGGTGGCTGGCACCACTGGCAAGAATAAGGCATGGACTTGAATGCCTTTAGGTAAGGGTACTAGCAAAGGGCTTTAAGCAGGGGAAGTACAGGTTGGGTTTGAGTATGCTCATTGGCTGCAGGCTGGTGACAAGATCAGAAATGGGAAGGCTGGAAGCAAGGCAGCCAGTGAGAAAGCTATCAGGAAAGTTTGGGGGTGGGGGTAGGGCAATAACACTAAGCTTCTGGTAGCAGCAGGGAGTCCAGAAAAGTGGGCACAAGGTCAGTGTTACTCAGCCAGCAGGAGCACAAGGCTCTGTCCTGTAATTAGTTCTGAGGGATGGCAGAAGCAGGAGTCTCTGAAGATCCCTCCTGCATGCCACAAGTCAGACCAGAGCACAACTGTATGGAACCTTGAGGATGCCGGTGGAGAGCAGAGGTTCAGGAAGGTCTTTGGATAGGTAGGAAACCTAGAGAGAAACGGGTGTTCCATTGAAGGATTTAAGAAGACTAGCTGGCAGAGACTCAAGCTTTAAAGAACCATCCAAGTCTCCAGCTGAGGGAAAAAAGTACCAAGGGTTAAGTGGGCATTTGGATTTTATTTTGTCCCATATACTAGCAAGCTACCAGATACTTGCTCAGTGCCATCCCTGTTGTTCAGGTCCTAGGACCAGATATTCATGAGTCTGATAAAAGTCCTGTCCTTAGAGAATACCAGGCTAGCATAGGAGATAGAATCAGACACCAGCAATTGCTGCTCTTCGGGGGGTTTTTGGTGTTTTTGTTTTGTTTTTGCCAGTCCTGGGACTTGAACTCAGGGCCTGGGCACTGTCTCTGAGCTTCTTTTACTCAAGGCTAGCACCCTACAACTTGAGCCACAACACCACTTCTGGCTTTTTCTATTTATGTGGTATTGAGGAATCAAACCCAGGGCTCATGCATGTTAGGCAAGCGCTCTACCACTAAGCCACATTCCCAGCCCAGCAAAAGTGGGAGAGCCAATGAGAAAATGAAGCAAAAGGGCTGGTGCTATGGATTAACTGGTAGCACTTGCCTTGCACCCTGGGGTAGCCTCATCATCTTTTTTCTCTGGATATTCAGGTACCCTGCTGACTACACCCCAGCACACTGCAATTGGGGCACACCCTGTGTCCATGCCCACATACAGGGCCCAAGGAACCCCGGCGTACAGCTATGTGCCCCCGCACTGGTAAAGCCTGCAGCCCATCCAAGTGAGTGCGGCTGGATGGGAGGGATGGGAGGGATCTCATAAGAGGTACCACGCAGAGCCGCCCTCACCTTCAGTCTGGAGCGTGTATTGCTTTCCTGCTACATGGTTTGTAATCCCCTCATGCTATACATGTCCCACCTCATTCATAATTTGCACAGTGGCTCTGCTCTCTAGATAAATATGAAGTTGAACAGCACTTTGTAAAAACTGAACTGGGACTTGCACTTCTGTCCTATACTGCTGAGTTCTTGTGTTCTTTACTATGTGGTCTTCAGATAACAAATGTGATCTAAACATAAGTCAGATGTTAGATCTGGTTAGAGCCAGGTGGAGACCATGGAGTCTCCACCCACTCCCCTGGCTGCTCTCAGCAGCTCCTGAGGTAGGACCTGCTCCAGAATGGTCACCTGGAAAGCTGAGCCCCTTGTCTCCCTTACCATCCTTCTCTTTCAGGGCTCTTGATACTAGGACACATCTCCCACGGTTAGAGGGCAGGGGAAGCAGGGATAAGCAGCCTTACCAGGAGGGCACATGGGGCTCCCTGAGGTAGCTTGGAGAACATCACTGTCTGTTGGTTTCCCTCCCTCCCCAGGTCTGGAGTCACACATTGTATGCAACTACTCAAGTCTTACACCGGTGCTGGAGCAGTCCCCTAGCAGCACCACCTCTACTTGCAAGAAGAGACAACGGAAGTGCAAGGGTCACTTTATGCATCTTTAATGGTTTTGGTTTTTACTTTTGGTTTTTGTAAAAGCTGCTTTTTCTAATCTCCTGCCTCTCTCCCTTTGCCCCTTCCCCCCCTTAGCCACTGCCTTCCAGCTCCACCCCCTCTTCTCCCCGACCCAGCCATGTCCTCTCTGCACTTCTTTTCTTCCCCAAGTGTCCTGTCCCCAGGATCCCAGCCTAGTGGCAAGCTGAGAGTGGGTTTATTGCAGTGGTTCATCTGAAGGCTTGATTTTATTTGAAAAGCATAAACAGGTCTGAGGTAAGAATCCAGAGCTCTTGAGGAGACCACGTCTCTGAGCGACTGTTTCTTTTCTTAAGAGTTCAGGACATTACCATGTCCTGACCCAAAGAAATGTCTTCTGAGAGCCATGGCAACAGACCAAGAACAAAACCACGTGACTATGTAGAAGTGTTTATTAGCAGCTTCATACCCCAGGCTGAGAACCTGGGGAAACCAGAGTCTTTGGGAGAATTTGGGGAAGGAAAGAAGGGGAGAGAGGTGCTTGCCTGATGCTTTGGTTTGAAAAGTCTCTGGCTATATGGTTTGGGCCTGGACCTTCTGATTTGCACCGTGATGTTAACTGACCTGGCACTTCCTCAAAAGGTAGCTTTGACCTCAGACTTGCCAAGCAGCCGCAGGCTGATGGAATCTCAGAGTCTGGAGACTTGGGAAGGCCAGGTGCCCAGTGTAACCTAGACCTCAGCCTCTGAGCCTTCCTGGCTCACTCTAATGAGGAGCTTCCTTCTGATTAGAGTGGGAACCTGTGGCATTTCTCTCCCTTGCCCTTCTGTCCTTCCAAGTGCCGGGGCTCACCTGTCTGTCTATGAGGCTGGCAGGCAGGCCAAGCTCTTGGTTACCTTGTGCCATTCACGGCCAAAGTGAAGGAACCACATTCCAGGTGGGTGCTGATGGCTCTGAAGGTCAGGATAGTGAAGGAAAAGCAATAGCAATAATCATTTCATAGACTCATGGAACTGAAGAGACCTTAGCAATCATCTCATCCATTCCCCTATTTGACAGATTGAGGAAACTGAGGCCACAAGAAGAGGAAAGGACTTTCCTGGACCTCACAGTAAATTAGCATTAAATGCAACCTTCCTACCTAGTGGCATGTTGCCTACACAAATTTAGCTAGGGATGGATTGGCTTTGTTTCATAATAATTGTCAGCAGCCTCATACCTGGTAAGCTCTGCAGTGATCTCTGGGCTCGTTTCTGCTCTTTTACCCTAAGGATTCTAAAGGTGGGGGTTGAAGACTGGGCAGAGGCCACATGGGGGCAGATGACAGGAACAGAAATTGCAAATGAAGAAATAGCATTTGGAAATTCTGTGAAGACATCTGGAACTTTCATCCTGTACCTGATTCTACACTTAGGAAAAGGAGCAGGTGGGCTGGCTGAAAAGGAGAGGCCATGCTTTTAGGACAGTAGCCCCTCATCATCCTGGGAAGAGAGGAGAGTGGGATCCATCAGGAGAGGAGGACAAGTATGAGGCCCAGCAGAATGGGCTTGCCTGGGGAGAAGAGGGACCCCCAGGACAAAGAGGCCCCTGCTAGTCTCATCCAGGAGCCTGGATTGTCCAGCATCAACCGCCCTCTACCCAGCGCATAGCTGAGCCGGCAGCCCTTCTGGGGTGGAACAGGAACATTACTGTACAAAATGGGATCATTAACAACACTTGGGACTTCTAAATAACTATTTTCATTTAAAATTCATGTAAACTTGGATGTATCCTTTCCCTACTTCCAGTGTCCCCCTAAAGGAGGAAAAAAATCAGGAAGCCTTGGGCTAGAAAGACCTCAGAGCTGTCTGGCTGTTCCCAGGAGGTAAGGGCCATCTGCATCCTCGGCCCAGAGTAGGAGCTAGGGGACACCTTCCTGGCCTTGCAGGGAACTTCAGGACCAGTAAGAGAAGACCGGCTGTTCTGAGTGCCCTGCTTGGAGGCGTGCTGACAGGGTTTCATTGTATCACAACAAAATTTTCCAGTGTTCATTCATTTTTTGCAGTGCCCCCCCCCACCTGCTTTGGTTTTGAACAGGTGGGCAAGGTTGTTCTAGATTATGTCATATGTGTTTGAAAAAATGCCAAAATAATAATAATAGGAAACCTTTGCATTTGTCAGGTGCTTCATAGATTTCAAAGAATTTCACAGCCTTTAATTTACTGGCCCTGTGAGATGACAGGATTACCTACTCCACCTCTTTGAGAAAGGAGAAACAGGCAAGGAAACCACCCAAAGTTGAATTGAGCGCTGGAATCCTGACAGGACTCCCAACGTGGCTGCCTCCAGAGGGGCTGGTGGGATTGAAAAGAAAAAGGAAACCTAGGAATGACCTTGTAACTTTTGTTCTTTCTACACCAGTAAGTAAAAACTTGTGCCTCACAGTTCACAGAGCAGTTCCACATCCAGTGTGTGGTTTCACCCTGATATATGAATCCAGGCTGGATTCTGGCCCTCCCCCCATAGCCTTGTATACTGAAGCGTCTTCGCTCTGCTCCCTGACTTAGCCTTGTATGTTATTCAAGATCAAGGGAGGCCCCAAGGTGAAAAGGCATTGAAATGCTGTCTTCTGCAGGAGCCAGGCCCAGTGTCTCTTTGCCCCAGTATGAGCGCTGGAACCTTGGCACAGTTGGCTTCACCCTCTTATTTAACAGAGATCCACAAGCCTGGCCACGCTTGGGGAGTCACTGCAGAGGGACTGAGCCCAAGAAATCCAGGCAGTGTTTGCATCAAGTAAGTTGAGCACGGCTCCTAGCAAGGTCCTGGTGGCAGGAGTTCTGTCACCCAAAGATTCTGGATGGCCCTGGACTGCTCAGAGCTAGAAGGGCCCTCCCATCCCAGGTCAAGGGACATGCACACTTGACAGTGAGCTGGTGTCAGCAAGCACACCTCTTCTTCCCATGCCACTGCCCCTCCCAGCTCAGCATCTTCGTGGCTGAGGCCAGGGGTAAATATTCCATTCACCTGTTCTTTCCCCTCACTGCTACTTGACCTTGCCTTCAGCAACCTGGGGTTCAGGAAGTTTGAGTCTGGAAACTGCATTGCGTCTGAATCATGAAAGTCTGAACCAAAAAAACAAAAATGTAATTGTCCCCATGAGACAGCAGCAAATGTGCTGCTCCTTCTCATTGTCTGCAGTGGCCCTGACATACACTTCCCTCCCCTGAATGTTCTGTGGGGGCACACACAGCTGGCCAGAGCTCTTTTCATATGCAAAGTACTTCAGCAATGGGTTGCCAAACTCCCATTTTATAGATGAGAAAGCTAATTCTCCAAAGGGCTAGGGATCCTCATAAGTAAAGCTCTGTCTGCTGCCACCTGCTGGGTGTCCAAATAGCCAGCTTGGAGGAGGGTAGGGCTGTCTGCCTCTAAGCCCAGGAAGACTGTGAAGACGCAGGAAGTTCAGTTCTCTTGGCTGAGCAGACTTATGCACTTCTATGGGCCAAGGCCTGTGATGGCCCTGGGGACCAGAAGCATATCAGGTGGCAGCACAGAGGGGATGAGAATTTGCAACAAAGGGCCTCACTTGCACAAAGCACTTAGAGGTGATAGTGCCTACCTAGTACTGAAGATGTGTTCAAGTGCCAAGCATCTTCAGGAAGCCAGCACACACTGGCTTTCTGATCCCTGTACAGATCCAGCAAGATGCATTTGAAGGAGACCCTGAATGGCCAAAAACATCACAACTGGAATTCCTGGGATTGCTTTTTCATGGTGGGAGCCAGGTCCTAGAGAGACACAGAGAGGAAGCAGGCTCCGTGTATCCTAATCTTTTTCCCCTGGCCACTGAAATTGTTCCAAATTTAAAATATTCTCCTTCCATATACCTGGGAGTGCTTCTTTGGAAGGTTTGCTTTGTTTGAATGGCCTTCAGAAATCACATGGAGCTTAAAAGTAGGACAAGCCCTTTGGTCACCAAGTTCTGGCATCCTCATTGTACAGGCTGAGCCAAGCCTAGGAGAGCCCTGCGTATCAAATTCCTTAGCTCTGCTTTTTGGCCAGAGGGGACAGGCCCTGCTCTGGGCTTTGTAGTCTTCACTGCATTCTGGCTGGATCAGTCACCATCACTGCACTCCTCATGTAAAGCATAGTGAACCCTCGGGCAAGCTCTGCTTCTCCACATCACTGCTGGTGTGCAGTCCCCTGCATGCTGCAAGCTTGGGAATCTAGAGAGGCAGGCAGGAGGAGTATGGACAGAGGGGAGGCAGGCTTCTTGCTGGTATGCAGCCTCCTGGAGTTTAGGTCACACCTACCTTTGGAAGCAGGTTTAGTGGAAGAAGCCTAGCCAGGTAACTTAAGACACTCAGGTTTTTGAGGGCATGCCAGGTTGACTTCAGGGTCTGTCCTTTACCCATCCATGTCCACTTTTAGGAAATGTCTGAAATTTGGCATTACAGGGTTCCAAGACCTGGCCTTCAAAATTCCTGACAGGCCAGCTTCAACATTCCATGGCCAATCTTGCCTGAGCCTGACCTAGGTCCCACTCCCTCAGTTTCTTCAATGGGCATTTCCTACCTTGCATGCTGTCAGGGCCAGCCAGGAAACACAAGGGTTGGAACTGGCCAAAAGGGACACAACAGCACATGCCTCCCTAGCTGCAGAAATCAGTGGCTGTGGTATTGAGTCCCACAGCATTCCTGGTAGGGATTTCCTTCCTGAAGAGAACAGAACAACTTTGCATAGAATTGCTAGCCCATGGGTACAGCCATCCTCAGGCTCCAGCCTTCTTCCTCATGCCTAAAAGTCAGGGAAAGTGGGACTGGCCCAGAGTCTGCCTTGGGTCAGTTGGATTATTTGGATCTGGGTTGTGACCCTTGTCTCTTCACCGAAAAGAGGCTAGCAGGGCTTCTGGCACCTGAGGTCTGATGATCTCTGAAGACCCAGGGCCTGTCCCCTCCTGACTTCACGGCATCTGCATCCCTCTTTCATATCACACAGCAGAGAAGCCTGTTCTCATGGCAAGTAACATCCCTGTGAAGAGAGCGTTGTATATGATTTTGTATTTTTTAATTCCTTTTAATCTACAGGTTGGAATCTAATTTTTAAATTTTATTGGAACTCACATTTTAAAAATAAAGAAATGTTTAAAAATGATAAAATAATAATAATAATAATAATAACCTTTGAACAGTGTCCTCCAAGTAGTTTGATCGAAGAATTTAGAGGTGTTTTCAAAATACAGCCTGGAGTATGATGATTGGAAAGCCTGTGGCCTCACTTGTGTGTATGAAGTGTAAATCTGGTTTGGTTTTATTGTTTTGGATTCCTTTGGGTTTTGTTTAGTTTTGTTTTGAAGATCAGATAGTGATCACTCTGAAAGAGATTGAAGCCAAGAGTTTGTAATTATGATATTTACTGTAAGCTGTAGAACATTCAATAACTATTAAAAAAAAAAAGTTTCCCAAAAAAGAAAAAAAGTCCTAGGTGACCAGACTGAGTGGTTTTTGGGGGAGGGAGGTACAGAAGACCCAACACCTGGTTCAAGGAGTCTCTGAGCTTCTCCCCAAATTGATTCTAAACTTGTTTTTAAATAAACAGTTAAGAAATAACTGCTCTCTCTCTGAGCTGGGTGTAGTGGTACTCACCTGTAATCCCAGAACTCTGGTGGCTGAATCAAGGGAAAGTTCAAGACCTGTCTGGGTTACATAGGTAATTCCAGGCTGGTTTGGGATATATATTGCAAGACACTAGAAAAACAATAAAAAAAAAAAAACCCTGTGTTGTACCCCATAGTAGGCTTCACAGGGGGTCTGGTCCAGCATCCCACAGTGATGGAAGCTGTGAAGAGTCAGCTGCAGCACCCGCATGAATTGTGTAATAGGAGCCAATAAAGCCATTAAGAACTGACATTGAGGATGGGTACAGTGGCCTGTAATCCAGGAGGTCAGTAGAATAGTAATTTAAGGCCAGTCAGGGCAAAGAATGAGACCCTATCAATAAGAGGAGTGGTGATGTCCTAGCTAGGCAGGAGGCATAGGTAGGAAGATCAAGACTGAGGCTGATGTTGGGCAAAAACACGAGATTGCTTGAAAAGGCAAAAAGAAATGGGTGCATGGCTTCAGTGGTAAAGTGCCTACCTAGCAAGCCACAGGCTCTGAGTTCAAATCTTAGTACACATCTATTGAGGATGGGATGTAGCTACATAGAGCACTTGGGATAGATCTCCATATCAGAAAGAAATGGTTAAACAAACAAACAGAAAACCCTTCCCAGGGCCAGCCACATACAGTTTAGCCTGCTCAACTGGTAAGAAAAATGGCTCAACGAGCAGTAACAGGAAGACTGCAACCCAAGCATTTGTCACTGTTTCACACACACACACACAGAGGTGGGGAGGGAGGTGAGTGGAAGGAGGCCAAGCCGAGTAGCAAGCAGAGCCCCACTCTTCCCTCCAGTTCCCACTCAACCTGACCTGGAATGGCCAGGAATATCTCTGTGTGTGCAGGGACCTCCAGGAGGCAGACCAAGACACTGCATCTGATTCCCCACCCAGCTCTTCACCCTAAGGGGTAGTGAAGGACAGTTCTGTGATACAGGGGCCTTACCAGCCTGGTAGCCTGGATCCAGCCTCCATCTCCATCCTGGCTAGCATTTGAGTGTGCCTTTCCCTGTGCTAGAAGCACCAGCCAAAGATACATTATCTGGAGATCTCAACCAGCCTGGCTCTGGGCAGAGACAGAGGCCAAGAGAAGGAGGGAGGCCAACCTCCTTCCCGGCCCCAGGGCACTGTCATCCTTACACCACCTCAAAGTGAGCCACGTGCTATCCAAGGCCTAGGTGAAATGAAGCGGATGGGTTAGCTGACTGGGGAACAACCAAGTTTGAGAAACCAAACCCAGAGATACAACGAACAGTGGCAAACAGCAGCCAAGTACACTGCATTGCAGGCAGCATTTCCCTGGACTGGTGATACCTGCTAGTCACCTGCCCTGCCCTCCCTCGCCCTGCCCTGCATTTAACCATCTTTGTTGCTTCAGAAATTTCCTCCAGCTGTCCAGCATCCTTCTTCCCTCCTCCTAGTACAAGTGAAACCTTTTCTCCTAGGTCCTCAGAGGTGCCCCTGTCCTTTTCCTGCCCATCTGAAGTCTCAGAAGAGCCTGTGCCCTGGGGAAAAGCAGGGGGGAGAGGAGGGATCTCAAAGCATGTCTGCCTGTCCTCTGTTGAAGGTGATGTTTCCTCTGTCACTGTCTGGCCACACCCCACCTTGATTTCTGCCCAGGGGAAGTCCCCTTCTTTGTGCGGCCCCAGCGTTGCCACCCGTGCCCACTACAGGCAGTCTCTGAACTCCTGCAGGCCACCCCTCTTTCACACATCCAGTTCCCAGCAAGGGTCACTTCTAGCACGTCAGTGTGCTGTGGGAAGATGAATTGTGTGTACACCTGTCACTCTCTTCCCTGATATTACAGCGTACTAAACACTGGTGATGGCCAGCTTACAAACACCTCTCCCAGAACCTAAGGTTCTACCTGGCACAGGCAGGCTTTCACAGAGCTTCATAGAGCCATCTCCTCTCCCCCCGGTCCTCCAGGACCTGGCCCTGCCCTTACTGTCTGATTAAGAAGACTCCCACCAAGTCCACAATTGCTTTAATACCTCCTGGTCCCTCACTTCCTCTGGCTACCAAGACTCCTGCCTCCCAGTGCCTTCCCTGCTTGGCCCAGAGGGGCTCAGGCCCGTTTGTCCACGGTATGTTCCATCCAGCCCAGACCCAGCATAAATGCCCACCTAAGCACGAGTGTATCCTTGTCACCCAGCTCCATCTCCTGAAGACCCAGATGCCTCAAGACCTGCCAGGCTGACACAAGCAGCACCTGGACTGCTTCCTGGGACCCCATCCAACTGACCCCAATCCCTTTAACCCAGTCCCACGCCTGAGAGGATCCTCTGTGCCTTCCTGATACCTGTTGCCAAAACAGCTTCTCAAGGGGCCCATCTCCAGCTATTCCTGCTGTACACACTGTGGCCAAGTGGATGGGATAGGACAACTAGTCTCTTTCCTACCTAACTGGAGCCTCCTTGGCCTTGACTCACAGGGACTCAGCTTCTCTCCTCCCCGTCAATGGACTACCACGGTTTGAACTCAAGACCTCAGACTTAATAGGCAGGAGCTCTACCACTGAGCCACATCTCCATTAGGGTCTTGATTCCCTGCTTCCTGAATGGGCACTCTAGGACCCTGATATGCCTATTTTAAGCTTCCCATCATAGCTGGGACAACAGGCATGTGCCACCCTGGGCCTAGCTTTTTATAAGTTGAGAAGGGGGTCTCATGTATTCCCCAGCTGGCCTCAAACTATGATCCTCCTGATCTCAGCCTCCCAACTAGTTAGGATTAAAAGCATGAGCCACTGGCACTGGCTTCAGCTCCCCTCTTTAGGTTCTGGCCTTTGCCTGTGTGTTCCCTTTTCCTGCACTCTCCAGTCCCCCACTGTGTCTTCCTTACCCCCATTTGTCTCCCAGGCTCCACAAGACTGCTGCTCCAATACAATAGCCACCGGCCACATGGCTCTTGAGCTCTTGAAATACTAGTTCACACCAAGATGTGTAAAATATACACCAGATTCTAAAGCAAAAACAAAAGGCTCATTCATAATTTTTATATTGATTTTATATTGCAATGAAAATATCGGAGTTAAAAATATTAATATTATTCAAACTAAGTTCACTTGTTTCTCTTTTGAGAATGTGAATATTAGACAACTTTAAAACATGAACGTGGCTCACACTGGGCAGCCTGCCCTCTGGGGAGCTCAGTGACAAGTGGATGACATGAAGGACGCCTCCACCTGTTGCCCAGGCATGGTGAAAGAAAGGCTCTATCAGCAACAGGATAGGTAGACACAGAGTGAGGCTTCAGCAGCTGAGCTGGGGAAGGCACGGGAGGGGGAAAAGGAACCTCCTCATGACACCATTTCCACCTTTTATTACTCAACAAGTGGATGGGATGGAGATGCAGGGAGAGGATGACAGCAGGTTTTAATAAATAAGATAAACAGGATGGGCAGTGGGCCCGTGCCTGCACGGCCTCACATAAATAACCAGGTGCTAAGCCAGAGTGGAGACAGCTGGAGCAGGACAGGCAGTGGCCTGGGCTGCCCAGGGCTGGGGACAGACACAATGCCACAGGGACAACACAAACCACTGAGGCCCCACCAGTGTTTCTTTCCCCAAAGCCTCCAGAGACCTTGAGGGTGACCGGGCTGGCTAGGCCTCCGCACCACAGCCCTGCTGAGGAGTTTTCAGTTCCATTAAAGATAGCAGAGTGGGGGCAGGCACATGCATTTAAGCCCCTTCTGTGGGTGGAGCCTGGATGAACAGCCCCACGGGGGGCCTTGAAGGCAAAGGCCCTGCAAGCAGCACAAAATGGGCCAGATAAAGCTACTAATGGGAGGGGTAGCAGAGTCAAGCTCTTCCTGGCAGGACCCAGCCCAGAACCTACAGGGCACTGGAGAGGACCCAGGCATGAGCTGCTGTTCCCTCTCCATTTCAGTCAGAAAGGCTGGAACCCAGTGAAAGCCGAGAACATGTACTGGGCTCAAATCTCGGAGTCAAGCCTCCGGCTCCAGGCTCTTTTCTGTCCCTTACCTTTGCAGGCCCCGCCAGAAGAGGAAGGGGAGGCACATCTGCTCTGGGGCCCTGGACAAGCAGGTCCCCAAAGTCTGGACACCAGGGACAGGTGCCATAGCTCCACCAAGCCCAGACCCCTACGGCTCCTATAACATGGCCAGGGCAGGCACAAGCCTGGGGTATCCTGCAGGGAAGGATCTGGGGTGGCAGGGACAGGGCGGGGATCTCCATCTGCTCTTGCACTCGGTGTGGTGCCCTCTGGCTGCCCACCTCGTCGCCGGATGAACAGTCCCACCTCCAGTCCATGGCTTTCGCCGTTTTGTCTGCTGGGCTCTTCCACCTTGGTCCTCAAGTCCCGCAGCAGTTTTTGCCTTGTAAAGGAAGCCTTCAGAACCTCCCAGGGCCAGGCCAAGTGGCTCAGACCAGACAGCCCTCAGATGACCAGGTTGCTCTCACTTAGCCGGACCACATAGCGATTCTCCTGAGGACAGGGGCAAAGGAGGTCAGAGCTAAGTCAGAGGGCTCCTGCACCACCACCCCTACTTTAGCCTTCACTCGGGGCTGGCCAGGTACTAACGGAAACCTGCTAGACCAGGCCCTCACCTCAGCCTTGTTCTCCACAGGGGGCTTCAACCACGTTGTATGGCTTCCGCCATATCCCAGAAGTGTCCGCTGCTCAGGAAAGAGGCCAGGTTGTGGGGAGTCAGGGAGATCACCCCCTGAAGGTCCAGCTTCTGTGATGGTCTTCACCTCAGATATTACTGAACTGGCCCGCTGCTCAGGAATCCGAGCCACACGGAACCTATGGGGAGAAGAGGCAGGGCCATCCCCCATTAGAGGAGGACCCCGGGGGCAGAGGGCAGCACCTTCCAGGTCATATGGCAAGTTCTAGGATTGACATGGTGCCTGAGCCCTTCCCACAATGATGCCCCAACAACTATGTGAGAAACAGTTTGGCCAGGAACTGCCAATTTCTCTGGCCACCCATGCTGCTCAGCAAGGCCGACTGTCAGGCCTGTGTGACCTCAGTCCTCCGGTGACCCAGCCCCCTGCCTACCCACCCACTGGCGGCTATTATGTGTCTCCCTAACCTTTCTGTGTTTTCCCCTTACCTGCCCACTGACAAGATCGTGATCTCGCCCTGGCGTCCTGCTTTAGCCCCAGCCTTGGGAGCTCTGGCTGGGTTAGGCAGGAGGCTGGGAGCAGGAGTGGTAGCAGCTGCAGCTTCGGGGGACAGCAGCACCTCAGGCCACTTCTTCTGGCTACAACGGGAACAGCAGGGGCCAGAGAGCGAGGCCAGACCCTGCACAGTGTGGAGGTGGTGGCGATGCGGGCAGATGTGCGGTATGCTGGGGGAGGCTGGCGGCAGCCTGCAGGAGGACATTGGTAGAAACGGTCACGACCACGGGTCAGGCCCAGGCCCAGGACACCACAGCAGGTAGAAGAGGGGTAGAGGTGACATGAGCCAGAACAGACCCAAATGGGAAGCCCCTAGGTGGCAGGCTGGTGATCTGAGGGTCCTGCTCCCCTCACCTGGGCACAGGCATGTGGCTTGTCTGCACCAGCTGTTTGCTGTGGTATTCTTTCAGCAGCTCCTCCAGGGCCGCCGCGTTCTCTGTGGGCAGCTGTAGTCAGAACCCAGCTCCAACGATGAAGGGGACCACCCGTCCCCACCCCATCAGACACCCTTGTGACTACCACCATTCTCATCCCCATCCTGGACTGTGCAATTTTTCCTTCACCCTCTCATCAAGCAGGACCTCCCCGAGGGCAGCAGAGCAGTGCAGGACCATGCCACACACCAACTGACAGGCACGGGGAGGAGAGCCTCTGCATCCAGGCACTGCATAGATCAGACCTCCTCCTCACCTTTTTTCTCTGTGATCAAGCGTACCAGGACCCCAATGGTGTCTTCATTGGCTTCCTCATTCTGATAGGCGGGGTTGATACCTGGGGAAGAGAAGAGAACCATTAACCTAGGAGAGATGATGCTGAGCTCCTGAGCTCTGCCAGCAGAGGGCACCCCAGGCCTTCCTCGGAATTGCAGCAGAGCTTTGCACGTTAGGTGACAAGACACCGGGTGCCTGGTTCCTATGGGCTCGCCTACAGCCCATAGTCACAGCTGTGACTCCAAGAAATCCACCAGCACGTTCAGCATTTGACATAGCTTTCTGTGTACTCAGTAGCCACAAGTGCTCAGTGGTTTCAGGGCCATGTGAATCCTCACCTCTGCAGACTGTGTCAGCCTCAGGAGACATCAGGCCAAGGGAGCTTCTCCCTGCCCAGAACACCCAACCTCTCCTATAAACTCTCCCCATTTTCTCCCTCTATACTATCCTGTCCATGTGACTGCTAAACACAGGTGTTTGATCAGCAAATCTCAGCAAACCTGGGGCCCAAACCTCACAGGTCTGAGAATGGGCCATTGTGATGGGCTCTGGGCCTAGCCGACTTGCACCTAGGCAGCATCCAACAATTTCCGGAAGGACTACATTAGGAAGACAAGTGCAGTCCAGGAAAAACAGCCCTGAGTCACCACCTGCCTGTTTGTAGCTTCTGACCCTGCTTGCCCCTCATAGCTTCAGGTGGGGAAAAGGAGCTCTGGCCATCCTCAGGCAGCCTGGGACCCTGGTATGGAGATGTCATGTCATTCTAGACTTGGCCAAGAGATCCTTGTGGGACCAGGACAGCATACAGCTCCTCTCCTTCATAAGATTTTGGGCAGGTAGGGAAGATGAAAAGGGCCCAGGACCCTGGGGTGGGATAGGAGAATGTGTCTCTCCCTCTGGTTCCAGGAACTGTAACTTGAACCATAGTCTGGAGCTGAAACCTGAGTGCCTATTTGTGTCTGTCTAGGACAGCTGCCTGGGAGCCTGACACAGGCATTCTTTTGGTTCCAGGCCAAAGGTCAGAAGTCACTTTGAATATTTCAAAGGTCATCTAACCCTTGAACCTAAGTCTCTAAGGAGTCCAGAGCCCCTCGGCTGGACAGTATCACACGCAGAGTGAGAATCCCTCCAACACCTCTCACCTCTACCCATCTCCAAGCCTCAACCTCCACCCCAGAAGCAGCACCCCTGAAGCTTCCCCTGCCACCCACCCCACACCAGGAGGGCCCTGGCCTTCCACCCCATGCTGGACCTCACCACTGCCACTTCCTCCAGGGCCAGGCCCGACCTCCTTGTGGGCTGTGCAGTGGTAGCCCTTGCGCTTCAGCAGGTTGCACACCAGGATGCCCAGCAGTCCCATGAGGCAGAAGACGGGCACGATAGCAATCACTGCGTACTGAGCAGCTGTCTCCTCGGGACCACCTGCCCGTGTGCTATTCCCAGGCTGCCGCGTCTCCCCGTCACTGCTGGACCCTGCTGCCACCTCAACGCCACGTCGGGCCCGTCGCCCCCATTCTGAGCACCATGGAGAAGATAGAGAAACAAACATACAGACAGCCAGCCCAGGGCCGGAGTTAGCACGGGGAACTGATGTGCCCAGGGCAGCTGCCATGCACGTGGGAAGACCAAAGCCGGCTCCTGCCCCGTTCTAGTTTCCTCTTTTGGCCATCTACTCAATCAGTCACCTCAAAAGGCGGGCTCCTCAGGCCTCAGCATGGCCAGGCCATTAGACTCCATTTGTCCCTGGTGCTGGGGTGTGAAGAGTGAGCAGATGGGCACACGCAGCACATGCCCGGGCACATGGACTCAGGATCCCACCCTCCCACCGCACGGTCTGTGAACTCTGCCTCAGGATGCTGGGCTCAGTGGTGAGAGGAGGTGTGTACATGTGAGCATGTGTCCCTCAGCAGGGATCTTGGGGCAGGAACAAGGGATTGGGTAGGGTATGAACCCCTGTGGCCACCTGCTGAATGAATGGTCTCTACCATTTGGAAGCAAATGGGCAATGCTGGCATGTTTCCACGCCCCCTCAGGCTGCTGTATCCTCACATGGGCACAGCAAGAGTTCCTAGGCTCTAAGTCACTGGACCCCCCAACCCCAACAATCCTTGACCCATTCCCTACTCACCATCACAACCATGAGTACTCAGAGGTGCCCAGGAACATGGCTGACATGGAACACTGGGGACCCCCCAAGGCCCAAACCACCTGCAGGAAGAGATGTTATTGAGATCTTTGTGTTTCTTCAAACAACTGTCCTCCAGAGAAGCTGCCTTTCTTCCTACCAGTTCCCTCAATGGTTCTGCCCCATCCATTACACAGATGGGAAGACTGAGGCTAGAATCCTAGATCTGGAGTTCTGGTCTCTCAGGCATGAGCTCCACTCCAACCCTATGCTCACCCAGGCTGACAGCTTCCACATAGTGTATCTTGAGTTGCTGTGCCGGCCTGAGCTTCCAGCCTCCTCCGGAGGCTGCAGCGATCATGGGGCTGGCATGGGCGGGAACCCCATGAGGCTGAGAAGGTGCCTGGGGGGCAGGACCTGCATAATGTGGCCTGACCTGGGTCCTGTGGGAGAGAGAGGGTGAGAACAAGACCAGCAGCCAAGCCTAAGGTCCCCGGGAGGCCAGGCCAGCCTGGGCCTCCACCCTCTTCCCTCTGGAGACAGAGAGATGGTCTCAACACTTACTAGGTTAGGCTCTTCTCCAGGTGGACACAGCCACGGGGTTGTTGATGTCAGAGTGGCCAGAGGACAGAGAAGCAGCTGGAAGAACACAGTTTGGGAGCATGGTGAAAGGCAGGAGGTACTAGGGTCCCATAGGGTCATCCACCTACCGCTGACTTCCTGAGGCCCTACGAATGGGAGTCACTGACCACATCACCCAGGCTTAAGGAGCACTCTTCTAACCTCAATCCCTAACACTGCCAAGAAAAACCGTCCTGTCTCAGGCTTGTACTGTCAGTGCCTGGGTAAGGAGAGAACCGTATCTACTGATGGAAAGGGAATCACAGCCTCAAGCACTTAGGTGTCAGAGTTATACCCCTTCTAGCTAATCAGAAAAAAAAAAAAATGAGGAAATGCTTCCGAATTCCTCTCTCAGTACTGTCCCCTTCCTGCCACCTCCCCCACCCTCCCTCACAGCTGGGCATGTCATTAACCAGCCTCTGTTTATTATCCCTGGAGCCAAGTCTGCAGCTGGTGCTTACTATTCTGAGCCCCAGGCCGAGTTTGAGACCACCTCCTCCTCTGTGGCCTCTCCCTGCAGCAAGCACCCTTTCACACCCCTGCACCCTAACAGAGCATACCACGTTTCAAGTGTAAGGGCTTTTCAACACCAACACCTGTCTCTAGCCCTTCCATAGTGACTTTCTTGCTTCCCAGTCTCAGGCCTATACTGTCTGCCCTGAACTCCTCTTGCTGTGGGGAGACTCAATCCTCCAATTTGGTCTAAGCAGCTTGGTGGGGTGCCAGGCACAGAACACAGTCAGTTGCCCTGGAGGTAGAATACCTCAGGATTATGGTCTTTCCCTAGACTTGGCTGCCAGTCCCTGCTATGGCTTAGAGGCCTCTTGGCTAAGGCCAAGTCTTGACTTCCCTGAGCTTCCAGTGTTACAGCAAGAAGATAACTTAGACCAGAGTCCAAGACACTTCCTCCAAGTTGGTAGGTGTAGGTGGCTTGATTCTCAGATTCTACATCTGGAATCTAGGTCCCTAGACCAGTAGAGACCTGAACTCCAGCATATGAGGTCTCTGCGTCCTGGGACTCTAATTTCCTCCAAGTCTCCAGCCCACTCTCCCCACCTGCCTCTGTGCCTCCAGCTGCCTGCTGGCCAGTAGGTCCTCAACCATGCTGAAAATGCCAGCAAGTCCATAGCCTAGCCTGGGTGGGCATGGCTTGGGAAAGCTGTGTTCTGTCTTGGATGGCATGCAGAGGGAAGGCTGAGGCTACACCCACTGGGTCACCATCTCATGCCAGTGTGGGCCAGGAGGTATTTCCTATGGTCTGACTGGCTCAAACATTTCCCAAGAAGAGCTGAAGATTGCAGCCTCCCACAGCCTGAGGGACCCGAGCAGCATCTGCATCCTGTTCCTGGAGGGCTGAGGTGCAGGGCTCAGGATCAGCTCCTCTGACTTCTCCCCAGCCCAGTCCCATCTCCAACTCACCACGAAGAGGCAGGATAGGGGCTGGCATGGCAGGTTCAACTTCATCATCAGGCCTGGGAGTGATCACCAGCCTAAAGCAGATGGAAGGGAGGCTCACGAGTCTGGCCAGACAGGCAGCTGCTATCCCCTCAATCCTACCCCTAGGCAACTCTCAGGATGACAGGACTTGACAAGGAGTTGGCATGGTGCTGCTGGGCAGGCAGACACTGGCGGGTGGCCAGCTTGCTCACACCCCCAGGTGCAAGCCTGAGCAGAGGGTGGGGCTGCTTGTCTGGGACCAGCCTCCCCAGCCTGGCTAGGCTTGAAGGGCTGACACTGACCTCTGTAGGCTGGGAGGCTTTCCAGGAGGAAGGGCTTCCTTCCCCTTCCATAAACAGCCAGGTACCCAGTGGCAGAGCATCACAGGGAAGCAAGGAAGGAGGAAGGAAGCATGGGGGAAGCCTGGGCCAAGGGCCGAGAGGATGGTAATGCCATGCCCATCCCCCTCCCACCAAGCCCTGGCCTCTACTCTCACAGCAGCTCCTGGCAGCCAGAACTCTGCCAGGTCAGCAAACCTGCCACACTCACGCTCCTCCGCCTTCACTCTTGTTACTTTAATCCTAAGGAAAGCCCTGACCCTCACCTGTCAGGGTGCTTTTCTAGAAGCCTTCTCTCCCCTGCCCATTCCATCAGAGGCCTGCCTCTCCTCTGTGCATTTCTGCCTGCCCAGTGCCCGAACAGGCTTGTAAGGCTGGGGTGGTCACGGAAGCCTCCCCTCATCTCCAGCACCTCCTGTGCTGGCATGGCCTTGTCGCTAGAGAAATAGTCATGAACACAACAGAGGATGCCCTGTCCTCAGGGAGCTCAGTTGCAGGAACCCCAATGGCAGACGGACTAAGAGAGAGTGGTTCTGCTGTTAGTTTGTGGTGAGAAGAAATAAGGGTCTGTACAAAGTGTAAAAATCTAGAAAACATTTGTGATAAGTCCCCAGCTTACCACTCCAGTCCTGGACCCTCAGGCCCAGGCTACCTCAGCCAGTAGACAAGGCTGGGGGGCAGCAGGCACAGAAGGATTCATATCAGACAACAGAAGAGACCATCCCAGAATGAGGAAGTTCCTCGATGCATTTCTCAGGGGCCTGGCTTCAGGGTCAGAAGGCTGACTAAGCTGTGCACCAGGCTCCAGCACAGAATACACACAGCCTCCAAAACCCTAGGTTGGGGGCTGGGAAGTTGGCTCAGTGGTAGAGCGCTTGCCTTGCATGCCTGAGGCCCTGGGTTCGATTCCTCAGCACCACATAAGCAAAAAGAAAAAAAAAGCCGGAATTGGCGCTGTGGCTCAAGTGGTAGAGTGCTAGCCTTGAGCTGAAGAGCTGAGGGACAGCGCCCAGGCCCAGAGTTCAGGCCCCACGACCGGACCCAAAAAAAAAAAACCCTAGGTTGCTCCCAGGCTTCACAGAGCCCAGCCACTGGCCTGGGTGAAGGGCTCCAAGCCTGGCTGGAGACACATTGCCTGCAGAAAGTTCCAGATTCTGCCAGAGCCCCTCTCAGGTGGGCAATCCTGCTTCCCACCTGGAAAAGGAGCCAAGGAAACTGATCCACCTGCCTGACCTGGGCCTGGCCAGGCACAGAGCCTCATCAGGGCCAGGGATTTGAGTTACACCCAGGGGAGGGGGAGGGGTAGTGGTCACATCATCCTTGGGACTCTCCAGGTCACTGGCAGCCTGTGGCTCTGGGCCCCAGGCCAGCTGAGGGGAAAACCAGGGACAGGGAAGTCCGGGCCATAGAGTAGGTAAAGGACACATCTGGCAGTCAACACTCAACAGATGGCATCCCTGACTCATCCCCTGACCTGTCCGTCCTCAGATTAGGTCACAAGACTTCCAGATTCTGTCACACAGATCTGGCTCAGGCCCTGCACCAGGCTCAAATCCATCTCCCAGTCCTTCAAAAGGGCTCTAACTCACAAGCTCAAACACAAACCGCAGGCTGAGTCCCAATCCTCCTCCATGTCCATAGGCCAGCCCAGAGCACCAGGCTGCGGGTAAAGGGTAGAGAAAAACAGCTGCAGAAGGGAGGGCCCCAGGGCCACCCAACCCTGGTGAAACCTGCTGTGTGACCTGAGCCCTCAGGAGGAGCTGTGCAGCTGTTCATCTGCAGACAAGTGTGAAGTGCTGTAATCTGGAGACTTCCAGGAAGAAAGTGAGGGTCGGGGGCCCAGACTCAAAGCCAGAGCGTGTCCACTCTGGTACATTCACAGACATCCGCCGCCTAGCGCCCTCCTGCCTTCTAATTATGCACCTTCTAATTACCCCAAACCAGCACTTACTCCAGTCTGGCTGCCCCAGCCCCTACACTCTGCCAGACCAAGCCCCCTGCCAGATCTGCCTGGTCAGGCAGAAAGTCCCATGCACACATTTGTGTAACAAAGGCTGCTCAGACCTCTTCCCCTCAAGCCAGAGCCCTGAAACTCTGATCTGAAAACTGAAGTTCAAAGGGAGAAGCTCCTCAGCTGAGAGGAGGGCTTGGGAATAACCCACCATCATGCCACCTTGTTCAGATAATCTGCATAATGTCCCAAAGCCCAGCACCTCCCAAGGGCTACCTGGAGGACAGCTATCAGAGTTGGGAGAATGAGGCCCAAGGACCTCTAATGGCCTGAAGGAGGAAAGCCACCTCCAGTCACACTGGATTAGGGACGAGGGTACCAGATTCTAACAGAGAAGGAAGTTAGCTAGCTCACAGGCCACCTTTCCTCCAATTTTAAACCTATCCACCAACTCCCTGTGGGACCTAAGCCCCTTGGCTTTCCCGGGCTCAGCTTCTTCATCTGCAAGATGGGGGTATGTATCCCCCAGGGCAAAAGGCTGTCATGAGCTTCAAATGAGGTAAGGTTGTCATGAACCTCAAGTAGGTCATGGGATTTCCTCCTCAGCAGCCCTTCTCTCTAGAGGCTGCAGGTTTGTAATTAAGTATTTGTCTGCTTACTTGTTTACTGCCTGCCCCCAACCAGACAACAGGCAAGACCAGGATGTCTGCTTTATTCACCACAAAGCCCGACCCCCAGTCTGGGCTGGAGCAGCAGCCTCTACCAAATGGGCTCATGAGGGCAAGGAGGGCCTCCTCAGACCCAGCACTACAAAATAGCACCCAAGCTCAGAGCCAGAAATTCCCCAGACCAAAGCCAACAAGCAGCACCACACCAGGCCCTCCAGCTACAGTAGAAACTGGAGGTGTCAGAGGCTCAGGGCAGAGCCACCCTGAAGGCCTCACTGAAAGAGGAAGCTCTGAACGGGCCTCCAGCTCAGGCAGCTTCCCTTTTCCTAGAACGGAACCCCCAGGGTCACTCCAGCCCCTGCTCCTCTCCAGCCAGGCCCTCCCCTCCAACTAATTCCCCAAGACTCCTTAAGGTCAGCCCCATCCCACAGCCTCGCTCTGGGCTGGCTCTGGGCCAGTTCCCACCACCCTCCGAATGGCATCCTGAGGCCCTGCCCTCTGCCAATCCCCTAAACATACGCACACACCAGCCACTTCAAGCTTCTCTCAGAAACACACACACTACCTGCTATTTCCTCAGCTCAGAAACCCCTCCCATCGCTTGGTCAACACCTCCGCTTCCTCCAGAGCTCTGTTCAAAGTCACTTCCTCCTGGAAGTCTCCCCCAACCACAGGGCATGCACTGCTGGGTAAAAACTCTGCTACCCAAGGGATGGGAGGCTGAAAATGTGTCCTCAGGAGATGGCCCTGCTTTGCCAGGGAAGGGGGACAGAGAGCAAGCTGAAGACAAAAGAACCCTGAGTCCAGGTTAGGCAGTGGGTCTAAAGCTGGACCTGAAGCCCTGGGCAAATGAGGGAACAGATCTGGGGCAAAAGCCAACTTCTGCTCTTCACTGGCTTTCTGGCTGTGGACTCCCCTGCAGAGGGCTGTCATGGGAGTGAAATGTGAAAACTCACATTTAATTATTGCAACAGGACTAACAGAGTAAGCCCTCAAACGGTATTCACCATGCCTCAGTTTCCCCACATGGAAATTGTGAAGAAGGAAGGGGCATGTACACATCAGCAAGTGAGAAGCACAGGTGAGATTCTTTTTTATATTTATGCCAATGCCTAGCATAGAGTCAGGCATACAGCAGGTACCCCCTCAGCTCCTCTGGGGAAAGAAGGGATAGGAGAAGAATTTGGGACAGACAGTTTGGGTGGACAGAGGCACCACACTTCCCAACCTCAGCTGCAACCCCGGAAGTCTGCACTTTCCCCAGGGTCTCTCAGATCTCTGAAGAGTTAAGCAGAAGAGGGAGAGGCACTAAATGATTTGCTTCTCAGCAGGCAGCTGGGCTGCCTGCCAAATGAGGGGACAGAGGGACACGGAGGCAGGCAGGTACAAGGCCTACCTGGGGCAAGGTAAGGTGAGACAGCAGATACTGCTTCCCAGCCACCAGTGGTTCCAGGCCCTGTGGACCTCCTTCCAGCCTCAAGAGGAGGGTTGCCTGGAAACACAGCTGGACACAGGCCTCCCTCAGTGGTGGCCACACCAGGCAGGAACACAAAGACTGCCCATCAATAGAGAGATCCAGGTTAGCAAGGGACCCAGTGGTTCCCTGGCAACTGGGGCTGAAGTAGGGCAGTGCCCACACTGGGCAGCAGTGAGGCAGCTAAACATGGGCCTGTTTTCCCTTCTCCCATAACAGGGAAAGGGACTCACCACTCTAGGCCTGGCTCACTCTGGATTACCTCCACTTCTCATGGGAGAGGTGAGGGTCTCTGTTCCATACCTGGGAAAACTGAGATCAGCACGGTCACACAGCTAGGGATGGAGCCTAGGACTGCATCATCTCTGCCTCTCCCACCAGAAGCTTAGAACCTGGCCTGGCAGGTGACGTTCCCAGATTGCTTACCAACCTGATGGCAGAGGCTAGGGAAATAGAACACATACAAGGTGGTACAACTGAAGGACTACTACAAAGACCTAGACAAGGTCCCCTCCTAGCAGTCCCAGGGACCTCCGGGATTTGCCTGTACCCATGCTCCTTTGTCTATTATGCCAATCGGTGCCAGCTCTGGCAGGAAAGAGTGCTGAGAACTATAGGAAAC